AGAAGCGAAGAGTGGATAAGAAGACAGTTAAGTGGATTGCAAGCTTTCTCAGCAACAGACACACCAAGATCGCAGTAGATGGCTTCACATTACAAGAGTACGCAATCAACACGGGCCTTGCTTGCCACAGCCACAACAAGGTTGATAAGAGCTCTTGAACGCCATGATTAGATTCCGCACTTGGAATTATACGTACATATGAGTCCTAGAGTCTCAATGTGCTAAAATGTAGAGCTTTTGAGTTGACAGCGTTCAAAAAGCCGAGAATGGCCTCTATTTTGATCAACTGTAAAGTCAGTAGTAGGAGGGTAATCTTAGATATCCAATAGCAAGATTTGTTCTTGAGAAGGTACAAAACATCATTCTCATGAAATGTTCGGAGAAGCTAATGCTTTTAGGCTATGAATATGTTATTGATCCCGCTGCTCGGCTTAGAAGTGGGTTATCAATTCTCCATGTAGCTGCCGAAATGGACTACCATTGCACTCCGGACCCGTACAAGAGAGGAACCAGATATTACATCGACCACTACGTTTTTCTATGGGAAGTGACCGAGGAGGAGTTTGTTGGCCATTACCAGTGGAAAGACTTGGCCAAAATTGCGAACTGGTATAATGGGGTCATTATGCCAGCATTCAGTAGATTCAGTGGAAGAAGGAGACCTGAGTCCGCTCTTACCTGTGTATCGGCATTCGACATGCCAACGATGATGGAGGATCTTCCTGGTAAGTCTTCAAACTACGTAGGTATCTACACAGCTAACATACTTGGGAACAAGCAAGCACGCTTGGTTGCTTGCCTATTCAGGCAAGCCAAGCGCCTCTCTATAAACCTTCACAAATTAAGTACAAACCAAGCGGGTTCCTCTAAATTAGCAATCAAGCGTAACAAGCAAGCATGCAAGCACGCTTGCTTGTTCCCAAGTATGTATACAACACCTTAATTGAGTTTTTGATTACGAGAGACCGGGTGTTTGGTTTCCTTTCATCTTAACTTAGGCTCAAGCAAGCTTCCGGGATCGGGAATATCATGTAGCCCATAGATACAGTACACTCTCATGCACTTGCAGCTTCCGGTTTCTGTAAGCAAACGACCTTTAATCCCACGCTAAGCCTCTATCGCATAGTGGTAATCTTACCCAATTAGTACTAGTTTCTACCAGTAATGCCATGGGTCGATCAGCTTTCAGACACTCAGGCTAATCAATGTGTCGTATCTATAGAGTCTAAGACTTTTCCAGATAAGCGTATGCCAGGCGGATCTATGTCCCGCGTGGGATGACAACTGGACGGCATGCAAAAAGCGGAAGCTGCAAGTGCATGTGAGTGTAGCGAAGGTGAAGGAGGGGAAACATCGACTTCCTCCATATAATCCAGCATCTTGGAGAAGCTGCAGATATGCCCAACAGCGTTTTGCATTCGTATCTTGGGTTAGGACAGTGTCGCACGCGTAGGTGCGGTCAATTGATCTGTATTGTTTCTGGTATCTACCATTTCCATTTACTCGTGGCGTACTTACCTAGTACTAGAGCTCCGTTGCCATAGATTTTTCGATTTAGTTTTCCTCTTACGCAGTAGCACCCTACTCTACTATGCCCGCCAATATATCATTAATTCTTACCCTGTCATCTAGATGACCCTCCGCCGCTACAAGAGCCTCGTGTATACACCCTATGTTTCTCTTAGAGGACTTAAAAGCGCTTGCTACAGTAAAACTGCAGCAAAATTTACAGGATCTCTGGGCAAGCGAATCCTTTCCAGAATGCGTTCGAGAGGTATATGCAACTACTCTAGAGAACGATTGTGCAATGCGGTCTGCTGTAATTGAGGTTGCCACAGAGCACGTAAGCGAACTAGGCAGGAAGATCCTGTTCAAGGATCTCATTCGCGAGGGTGGCGATTTTCCTGTCGACTATTTTACAAATGTTGTTTTTCCACAGCGTCCTGCAGGCTCGACCCATTCCCAACCGAGCGGTCTCTTTGGTAGTACGCTCGGTGGTACAAACAGGACTCATCCTACGTGGAGGTAATATGGCAGTCTGAACGCAATGCTGTCTTGCCAAACCTTGCCTCGAGCTAAATATGCCTTGAACTAGGAAGGGTACTAGATCGTTAGCTTGACGACTGAATAGCATTGTGACGGGGAAGCGAGACTGCAACAATGCAGTAGCCGCTGTTGTGTGGAAATATATTGAACAACATGTGTATACGGCATGTCGGTACTTGGATAGAACATGTATTAACGATAGAACAAGTCCGCAACGCCTGCGTGACGTAATGTGGCCGAGCTGTGGCTGTGGTCGCGCATTATTGTGTTAGAAGGATGGCTCGCAGGCGTTGCAGCAACTGCGAGGTGCTGTCAGACCGCCAAGTGGGGGACACAAAGCCTACGTGGTCGGTAAATTACTGCGAATGAAAGCTGCACGTCGGCGCCGGGTTACTAACTAAATCATCTATCGCAAGAAAAGACTGCCATTATCATGTCTTGACAAGGGCCACTGCCGTTGTGCATGTTGGAGCTGGAGCTTAGGTTTCTGTTAGTTTCTATGAACATGCTTACCTATACTATAGCCTTGCTAAGTTGCTAGTACGCGAGAGATCGCGTCGCATCACGTCTCACCCTTCCTTTCTCGATGCCGAGATGGCGAGAGCAATCAAAATGCAGCTGTATGCAAGATGATGGGCTTTACTCACGACCAGCAAAGAAGTTGAATTGATGAGATAGAATGAAGCTACTGGATATTAGCTTAACCAGATCGTCAGTGAATATGGAACCCACCTCGCGAAGGTTGTCATCGTTTGTGCACATAATCTTGGATATACGTAGTAGCGAGTAACTTGACTCTTGAGTAAGCCGTTGAGAAACGTAGGAAGTTAGAGACGAGACAGGAGAATGCGGGGTTGCACAGCGGTTTGGCTGTATGTGGCTTAGCATTACCATCCCGTGATGTTCGTCTACCTCTTCCCCGCTTGCCTTCAGAAATCAAGTCATTGTCTCTCTGCTTCATTCAAATACCTTGCTCGACGGAACAATCTATCAATTCAGGACTCTGGACAGCCAACCCGCTTATATGGCAGATACCAGCAGCAACTACAACCCACGGGGTCACCGCAATGTAGGCCGCGGCCGTGGTAATGCAACAAACGAAAGCCCTGGCCGTGGTACTCGTCGAGGTCGGTGGCCTAAATCAAGTGCCCCCGGTCGTGGAAATTCCAATGATGCAAATTTCGGCCCAAGGAATGATGGTGGGAGAGGACGGGGAAGTGGATCTAGGTCAACGATCTCCGTTGGCGGATTGCCACACCGTCATAACCACACTACCAAGAGAGGGGGCGACAGGAACTGGACATCCAGGTCAGTAGTTGCAAAGTGGATGAGGTATCTGGCCCTAATCAGGAATTTTAAGCAGAAACTCTAGTCAGCCTGCTACCACGAACGGCTTCGACAGCTTCAACTCTAATCGACAGCCATCTTCAGGGCTATCAAGCGATCAAATGCAAGAGTTCCTTCAAACAGGCCTCTCAGCGATCACCACGTCCGCAGAATCAAGGCAAATCTTTATTGACAATCTTGCCACTGAGCACGGCCTCGCCCGAGTCCGACAAATTGTCGAAACAAACTTCTCCATGCCATATAGCGTTCTCAACCCTATGTTCGACCCTCACTGCATCCTATTTCTTCACATCATTTCAAACGAGGAGATTAGACATTCGCTGGTATTGGAAAAAGCAGTGGGAACCATATACAATGTCATCTATGGATATGATGGCAATCGGGGCATTGGTTTCTTTAGAAACGTTACAGATTGTTTAGCTCAGATGACATCTGAAGTGAATGGCAGGAGAAAGGTTGAAGATGCGCTGTTCCTGGCAACAGCGGCGCTACTCACTACTCTAACGCTCAATCAGGGGGCTGCGATCAAGACTGAATTCAAGAAGGTCGTCGAACAGCTCTGCATCTGTTACGACGCCAAGGAAATCAACTATGGCAGTTCAAGTCTTAACGTACGTTCAGCGCATGAGAATATTCTCAAGATTAAAGACATACTCCATATGGGGGATACCATCTCTGCCTCCAACGCAGCTAACAGTCATGCCACAACTACTTCTCGAAAGAAGCAGCCAGAATTGCCCCATCGTGAGCCTCATCTCGACCTTCCTGGCGAACTGTCCCAATGGGGTCCCCGCCATGACAATGACCACGCACTCATCTCAGATATCAAAATCTTACCCACGCTCTCTGAAATCCTCTGTAATCAGCGAGCAGATTTCCTCCCCCAGCGACATAACCCCGGTTCACCATCCATACATCACGAAACAGGTGTTCTTCAACTCCTTGACTCCCAATTTCGCCTTCTACGAGAGGATACTTCTGGTTTACTCCGTGATTCCATCCGATTGATTTTAGAGAATTGGACTACTTTTGTTCATAACTCTGATTGGCGGATCAAACGTAAAATTCTGCGCGATGGCAGTCCAACTCCTGTTCGGATCTACTCCGATGTTGAGATTCAGCGAATCAAGTCGAACACGATAAAGGGGGTGGAGATTGAGGTACAGTTCGAACAGGCCCGCAGGGCAAGGCATCCTAACTTGATGAGAAGAAAACAATGGTGGTATGAGTCCCGGGGATTGAGGGAAGGGGGGGCAATATTGGCCGTCATCGATGGGGAACCAGATGATATCACTGTCATTTTCTTGCAAGTATCGAAAAGGGAGATTTGCACCTCGGACCATGATGACGAATCTGGAATTCATGATCTAGCAAGCGACGCTAAAAGAGCGATGATCACACTGCGCCTAGCAGGTCCGAACTGCAAGGCCGACCTGTCCAGTCTTGTCTACCTCGCTAGCGATACTAGACGCTCATTTCCCTCACCCAGGCCATTAATGCTAGTCGAGTTTCCGGCTGTGCTGTATAATTCCTTTGAAGGAATTCTAAGATGCCTCCAATCGTTACACACTAACCCAACTAACATTCCATTTACTACCTGGCTGGCTCCTCGTGCGCATGACAAAGTATCCATTCGAGAATCAGCGACAGACTACAGTCACAGAGGAGCTTTTGTCCCCCCACCTGCATACCTTGGAAGCGCCATTCTCGACCTCTCCTGTATTTCCACAGCTACAGGCAATGACAGCAATAGCGCCACCACACCACTAACCATGTCAATCTCCCACGATCCACACATGTTATCTACAAGGCTCTCTGAAGTGACGACTTTAGATACTGGTCAAGCAACTGCGATGATTTCAGCATTGAGACATGAAATAGCACTTATCCAGGGTCCTCCAGGGACTGGGAAGTCATATGTAGGAATACAAATCGCAAGGGTCCTATTGAACAACAGAGATCTATTAGGTTTAGGACCGATCCTATGTGTGTAAGTCAATCCATTGTGCTTTTTTTTTTGACTATTTAGTCAACTACAATTTTCTCCACCCTTATTAGTATCTAATCACAGAAAGAAAACTTGCTGAAACTGCGTAGCTGCTACACCAATCATGCGCTCGATCAGTTTCTCCATGAACTTCTCGATTCCGGTGTGACCAACATCTTACGAGCTGGCTCCCGTAGTCCATCCCCCCGTCTAGAAGCCTTATCCCTCGAAAACTACAAGAGAAATGGACAAATCCCACGTATTCCAGGTTTGGGGAAAAGAATAAGTGACTGCAGGGCCAGTATGGAGAAGTTGAGTATGGAGATTCAGAGAGTATGCAGACAGATCCAAGAGAGCAATGTGAGGATGGTGAAGGGGTTTTTGAAGAAGAGATTTGCAGTGCAGGCGGTAGGCATATTTGGCGGCATATCGGAAGAGTTAGATGCTGGCCTTGATTCTGAGACAAGAGATGATGCTGCAATAGAAACTTGGGTTTCCGGTGATGCACCCGGTGACTTGAGCGGTAGTGACACTGAACGCTCTATTGACCAGCTGCTCCTTGCGGAGGTCTGGACGTTGAAGAACTCGGAGCGCGCTCGTCTATATCAATACTGGCACGACTCGGCTTTAGCTGAACTTTCGCAACACTTTCACGACTTAGTTCAACGACACATATCGGCGAAGCAACAATATACCTCTCTATTCAACCAATCATACATGCAGTCTCTCGACAGATTTCATATCATTGGAGTAACAACCACCGGTCTGGCAAATAATTCTGATCTTTTGCGTGGTCTTCGGGCTAAAGTCCTTATTTGTGAGGAGGCTGGAGAGGTACTAGAAGCACATGTTCTTACTGTGCTTTTACCGTCTATCCAGCACGCCATATTGATTGGGGATCATCTTCAACTGCGTCCACGAATTTTGAACCTCAAACTTTCGATGGAATATGACCGCGCAGGGCCCAAATATAACCTCGATGAATCGCTATTCGAGAGACTAGCCAACTCGCGATTTGAAGACCGGACTATGAATGGGGAAGAGAAGAGAGGGGAGGAAGACCAATTTCCGATCGCACAACTGGATCACCAGCGGCGAATGCATCCTATGATCTCCTCCCTCGTTCGCAAGACGCTTTATCCTAAACTCCGTGACCACCCTGACACAACCTCTTACCCTGAAGTTTCCGGTATGAGACGCAGGTTATTCTGGCTTGACCACCGCAATGTGGAAGATGCTGGTGATCCTGAGGACATTATGCAAAGTAAGACAAACATATGGGAGGCAAAAATGGTTACAGCGTTGGTGAGGCATCTATGCAGACAAGGAAAGTACAGGCCTGGTGAAATTGCGGTGTTGACACCTTATATGGGACAATTGAGGGTATTGAAAGACATGTTGGCTGAGATCGTAGAACTCATTATTGGAGAGAAAGATTCAGAGGAATTGTGTGCCTCAGATGCCGGGGCGGATACGAGAGATAGCGGTATGACGAAGGAGCGGTCGATGCAAAGGCGACAGTGGAAGCAGCAGCAGCACCAAATGGTTGGAAAAGGGAAATTGTTGGATGAGTTGAGAGTAGCCAGCGTGGACAATTTTCAGGTAAGAGATATCAATTCTGGCTAAATTGTTCTGGACAGCTAATAACTCTCACTGCTGGTTCACTAGGGCGAGGAGGCAACCGTCATTATAGTCTCCCTGGTACGAAGCAACGTATACCAGAATTGCGGATTTCTCAAGACGCCCAACCGAATCAACGTTCTCCTGAGGTAAATACGAGAGTTTCCTATTCTACACCTGTTTATCCAATAATAAGTCACTAACTTTGCCTCTCATTTGCAGTCGCGCGAAACACGGCATGTACATAATTGGCGATGCCAAAACCTCATCCCACGTCTCAATGTGGTCATCTGTCATTGAACTACTAGAGAAAGGTGGCAATATCGGTTCGAAACTCGAACTTCAGTGCTCTCGTCACCCCGATAACAAAATCTATGTCTCCTCCCCCGACGACTTCGCCATCCATGCCCCAGAGGGTGGATGTGCAGAGAAATGCGGACTAAGATTAAGCTGCGGGCATAGTTGCGCAGTGAAGTGCCACTCGACAACACTGCATGAAGCGGTTAAATGCATGGAGTTGTGCACGAGGGTAAGGGAGTGTAGACATCCGTGTTCGAAGAAGTGCAATACTCCGTGCGGTGAATGCTACGAAAAGATCCTAAACGTCCTGCTTCCATGCGGACATGTGGCCAAAGAGGTGGAATGCCGAAATATGGAAAATCTTGCTGGCGTAAAATGCGAACATCCTGTGGAGCGAGAGATGCCCGGATGTGGCCACCATCTCACGGTACCGTGTCACGAAAACACGACCGATTTCAAATGCTTGCATTCATGCGACAGCTTACTCTCTTGCGGGCACAATTGCCGAAAGCCATGTTGGAACTGTATGCAGACTAATGATCACGGTTCTTGCAATATTCCATGCGGACGATTATTTACAATTTGTTCGCACCGCTGCGATCATCCATGTCACGACGGCGTTCCCTGTTCTCCCTGCAATCTGCCCTGTGAGACACGTTGCAAACATAGCAGATGCCCCAAGAAGTGCAGCGATCCGTGTGCTCCTTGCGCGGAGCAATGTGGATGGAGCTGCGATCATCGACGCGATCGCTGCAGTATGCCGTGTGCGGTCCCATGTGATATCATTCCTTGCGATCGCCGCTGCGAAAAGAACTTGGTATCTTGTGGACATCAATGCCCTGGGGTTTGTGGCGAGGTCTGTCCGGATTCCAAGTTTTGCCGAATCTGCTGTGCGCCGGACATTCTTGAGCAATATGTCGATTTTGTTATGTTTAGAAGATACGGCGAAATTGAGATTGATAAGGATCCATTAATCTTCCTCTCTTGTGGACACTTTCATACAGTCTCCACCCTCGATGGCATTATGGAGTTGACTCAGCACTATGTCACCGACTCCCAAACTGGCAAGATTGTGAGCCCGAAATCATCGCAACGGGTAGTAAAATCTGGGAGCGCGCCTAAAGGATGCCCAGTCTGCCGCAAGCCACTTAGAGATATCGACCGCTACAATCAGATTATCAAGAAAGCATTTCTGGATGAAGCAACGAGAAGGTTTGTTGCACAAGCGAATTCAAGATGTGCGGAGCTGGCGGAGAAGATTCAAAATCGAGAGATGAAGATAGAGAGGGAAAGAAGCGAGTTCGTGCTGCAATGGTTGAAGGAACTTGGTGAGTTAAGAGGGTTGGATCAAGTTGAGCGTGCCCTGGAGGCATACCAAATAGAGGGAATCAGGCTCCAAAAGGACATCAAAAAATTCACGAAATCTGTGGAAAAGACAGAGCAGCCTTTCGGGAGGGTCAACGATTTGCTTTCCGCTGCACTCGTCAGACAGTGCGATATAACAACAGAAGCCCTCAAGTTTGATGAATCAGTCATCCAAACCGGATTCCAGTTTCGCGGGCAATGTTTGAGTCTTCGCCTCAGCTGGGCGATTCTTTGGGATTTTGACGCAATCTATAGTAATGACTCAGTCGACCCACGTATTCGTTCGGCATTGCGCAATAAGGTAGCATCCCAGATTAGAGGGTTCTTGGACAGATGTCTCTCGCTCGTAAATGCGAGTCAGAATGCCAAATTTCCACAACAAGAAGCAGAAGCGTGGATCTATCGCGCATTATTCTCTATGCTCTTACGCAGCAATTCCCGAGCGCAAGGCCAACCTGTTGACAAAGCTACCGAGGTGTCGACGCGCCAGGTGTCGGAGGAAAGCTTGGAGGAATTTGAAAGACTCTTTTCGCGGCATCCCGGCAGTTTGGCATATCTCAAGGACGATGCTGAAAAGGCCAGAAGGCTGGTGAATGGTGGGACGTTTTATACAATGGTAACGGCAGAAGAAAAGCGAGAGGTCTATATGGCTATGGCCAGGCAGTTTTCAGGGACAGGCCATTGGTATTACTGTCGGAATAATCACCCTGTAAGACGCTTTCAGTTTATACGCTCTGAAAAACCCGGATGTGAATTACTAACTACCATTTGAATCATAGTTCACGGTAGGGGAATGTGGAATGCCAATGGAAGAAGCTCGATGTCCACAATGCGAAGAGCCCATTGGAGGCCATGATCATACTCCTGTGCAAGGGGTTCAGAGAGCAGAGGACATAGAGATTGAGTTTTCTTAGTTAGGTTGGTTATAGATTGTAGAAAGTGTTTGCTGCGTTCACGAAAGTACATACTATACCCTCTCGTTTACCCCTTGCTGCCCTCCCCTTTAGCCCTTCCGCTTCTTACGCCCGCTACCTACCACCTGCCCAAATATCCAACCTGATCGAGAGGACAATAAAAATCAGTTCAGGCACGTAGTAATAGCCAGACTCAGCAGTGACCACCCCAACTACTCCGCCAACACCAACTATTTTTGACTTTTGAAGCTGCCCACTATCATCACAATCTGCTCAACATAGCTAAATCTAGAGCTGCTATCTATTCCCCTATTCGAGATTATCGTGCTTGTGCTTATTCATTGCAGAAAGCTTCTGCTACTGCGTACAGCATTCCACAATTACCACTACGCCATTGCCTTGCCGGGCGCATTCAACGCGCACTAGCTCACCACTATGAGCAGTGATTGTCGCTGAACAAGAAGAGAAGCCCGTCGATTGAGTCCTTTGTGAAGGCAGCTGCGCGCGCCCACCTAGTCATGCGCTTCCTCGGCAAATGGCAATCCATGTCCTCAAGCAGAACAGTGACACTGCCCCTTTATGCCAGCATTAGATAACTATCTTCTTACACCGCAACCCGCGCGTCTGCTCGGCTACTTGCAGGAATAATGATACAGACAGAGCCAAGACAGCCACACTAAAGGCTATCATGGATTTCTTTGGGCTATTCGAGCGTACCAAATCACGTTTGAATTTTGAGATATCGATATCTACAGTATAGATAAGATTAGCGTTACTGTAGGGGTCTATCATAACTCTTGAGTAGTTGCTTCAACTACTAAACGTAAAGGCTACGTGCAAGCACCAGAGATTCAAGGGTGGATTTCGATCATCAATTGCGTATCTGCTATTAGCGCCAAGCTATCGCCAGTAATCATCGTCAAGGACCAGAACCTCCAGTCAAGATAGTTTCCAACCGGGACTGGTACTGCACCATTTCGATCAATGGCTGAGCCTCAAATGGTAATAATGTTAAGTAGCTAAATCGCGTCTTTATACCGGAAACTACTACTACAATTAGTTGTCTTTAATGCAACCCTATCTTTCTCTTTCTTACAGTTGGAGACTTGTTCATCCACACTAGTTATAGTATAATACCATCCTTTCTTACAGCTAAGCTAGATTTAGATGATTCAGGACTAGAGTTACACGGCATCATCTACTAGGAAGCTTTAGCAGGCGCTTGAAGCAAGTAAAATTAGCAAAGGGTTGCTAGAATTGGCATAACAGGCAGAAGCTCTGACTATATTAGCATATATGCTCAATTTTCCCTTAGTTACCCTAAAACTAAAACGGCATCCTGTGTACGCTCCTTGATTGATTGAAATTGATTTGAATTTGCGAAAATTATCAGCTATCTATAAATCCTGCATACTTCCGCCGTCAGATAAAATGAGAAGACGTCCCTATAATATTAGATAGCGCGTGATTTCTTATAATTCTGCTATATCGTCCATTGGGAGACTCGTCTCTAACATCAAAAGCAAATCCAAATCTTTGCGAGGTGATATTGTTGATAGCCTTCACGAAAGGCTGACACACGCTACAGATCTCCTGGCTAACGAGGATCAATACCATGCGGGGGCTGGTTTGATACGGGTAGGGGAAAAAACAATGCTCTGTTATTCTGTCCCACGGAATTCCAAGCTGAGACAGATACCAATGGATATACCCCGCTATGGCCTGTAGTTCCGCGTGACACGCCCAACCTCGGGGATTAGATCCAAAATCGTGTCCTATGTGACTCGCGATACGCATAACTTCTGTAGTCCAATTTTTATTAGTTATAACCCCGGCCCCCAAAGTCGAGTGTGAAGCTCCGCTCATAGTGTACTGAGTCGGGTGCCCATCAAGCTTGATGCAAGCTATAGCTTTCGTCGATTTTGGTAGTAGGAATTCCTTGACATATGCAGTAAGTCTTAAGATGTTCCTATCTACCGGGCAGATCGACAATATTGCATTATCGAAGTGATGACATGATGCTCCTGAAAGGGTTGGATCCAGTAAACTTTTCAATGTTCTAATATGAGCTGGTAGGGTAATATCTTTCCAAATCATATGGCTCATCACGTTATCCCATCCCCTTGTAGGAATCTCGAATACCATCTCGGCCAGATGATTGCATTCAATTTCGGGTTGCGTAGGTATCGACCAGGCCTGAGCTTTGTTGAATACTAATGCATTGGCGCAGATTTTTGCAACTTCGATTTGTGTAGAAAAGTCTTTTAGTCGCTCCGGCTCCCCAGGCTCCAACAAATCGGCTATTTGCTGTCGGCAGTTCTTGGATACATATGGTCGTTGGATGTCCTCATTTTGAAGGCGTTCCCATCTTTATCGTTCGTTCCCTCCATTCATTTTGGATAAGTCAACAGCACTGTTTCCATCATTGTCCTCTAGCCAGCCAGCACCTTTGTCTAGGATATAGTTGACGCTTGCCAGGTGACCCCACAAAACAGCCTCCATAAGAGCCGTTCTTCCATGGCGGTTTTGGGCGTCGATGTCTGCGCCAAATTCTAGAAGCAATTCAACCATTTTGGGTATTCCTCTCGATGCAGCACAAATAAGGGCCGTGTTCCCGTTCTTGTCAACCCAATTAAGGAGGAGTTCTGGATTTTTTGTTTCCTGGAGGTATTTTTTTACATGGTGGTATTCTCCCTTCATGCATGAATCCAGGAGTCCGTATGGATATTCGGCTTCAACCGGGATTTGACTCCAGAAGCCAGAAGTGTCCTTCGCATTTTCAATTTGTCCGTCAAGCTTCAAGTTTTGCAAGCTTTTCGAGAGATCCTCGCACAAGATTTCATGCTTAGGGTTTCCTGTAGTCGGGGGGGCTGACATCGCCGAGTTGAATAGTAGGGTATCTTCAAAGCGGCTTTGGACTCGAAGTGTACTAATAAGGATATACTAAACGAGGTATTGTATTGTAATGAATAGTTAAGGTAGTTAGACTCGATATTAAAGAGTGCAAAAGGCAATCGACACCTGTCTCTTATCAGGGCGGGGTAAGTCGTGGCTTGACCAGAAACGTCACTGCGTTAACTAAGCGATGCTGTAGCCAGCCAGTCACAATCTAACGTGCTTCACCAGTCGAGAAGGGCGCCGAGGTCAACATGCAGGATGGAGAGTACAGCAACGCACTCCAGGCAGCTTCGTACAGAGGTTACGAGGCGATTGTGAAGCTGCTGCTCGATAAGGGCGCCGACGTCAACGCGCAGGGTGGATGCTTCGACAACGCACTCCACACGGCTTCACGGATGGGCAGAGAAGCGGTGGTGAAAATGCTAAGAGAAAGGGATGTAATTAAAGTCATTCTGACGAGCAAACGTCGAGCGAGGTTGGTCTGCAACAGGCAGCACATCTAAGGTGCTCCATCAGTGAGCTGCGCACCCCACCAAACTTGACGCGACGCTCTACACCACCACCACTATGCCGCGACAACAACGCTCTATACAGACTTCTCGTGAAGGCAGAATAAGCCTTGCTATCGCCTCCTATTATAATAATAAAAAACAATCTCTCCGCGCTCTTGCGAAAGATTACAATGTGCTAGAATTAACTCTTCGAACGCGTCTCTACGGCGTCCAGCCACGATAAGAGACAGTCTCTACTAAGCGAAAGCTATCGCCTATTGAAGAGCAGTATCTCGTATATTAGATTCTAGACCTTAATTAACAAGGCTTTCCGCCTTATATTATTAACGTATGACGTATGGCAGACACTCTTCTCACTACGCGTGGCTAAAATCCACCTCCAGCACCTATTAGTGAGAACTAGGTGTCGCGCTTTATCCAGAGCTAGCTAGAGCTTCGGACGAAGTAGAGTAGAAGGCTTAATAGCTAGCGCGCTAACTCTAAGGATCCTATCGTAATTATAGCGTAGTTTAAGCTAGTAGAAGAGACGTGTAACGGCGCAAGCAAGACTACTCGGATCAGTACCGGCGGCAGCGTCACTCAGAGGCATATGGGAGTGCGTGGGACATCAAACGAGCCTTGATTCGAATANNCACCTATAGGCCTTGTACGAAAGGATATTAAAAGTCTACAGAGCTAGCTACAGGGAGTGTCTCAAATATAGACCTATCCTAGTCGGGTCCGAATCGGATCCGACTAAGAACGAATAGCTGATGAAGGGGCGGCCGATACCTCCTCCGATCCGGCTCTGGGATTGGCTCAATACTCGGCGGAGTTGTAACATCGTTACAGTTTCGAAGTAAGCATTCTGAGCCAAGGGCTAAGCTTTAAGTAACCAACGCTATATCCTAGGAGTTGCAGAGTGGATTGATCACTTTGAATCATGATACTGAATTCGCCAATGCCATCGAATGCATGGTGTCGTATTTCTACAATGCCAACTACAACGCCTCTCAATACGACATGTCTGAATCTCTCCTTCATGCACAAGTCGCTACCATTGCTGATAAGTACGACTGCGCATCGCTCTGCAAGCTTGCAAGAACTTCATTCGCAAATGCGGTGAACGCGATCGAGAAGGATGACTGGATTACCGTTGCTGCCTTTGTCTACCATCATACAATAATAGAATGGCTACCTCATCAGAATTTGCGAGATTTGGTCATCGCTACCGTTGCAGATCGTCCCAGTGTGTTAAAGTCGATTCTTGAAATAGAAAGTACATCAGGACTCTTCCGTTCAACTTTGGATCTAGCAACTAACCTTCTACTCAATGGACCGTATGCTTCTAAGACAGAAGGCGCTGCTAAGCACACTCTCCAATGTGGCAAATGTCAGTATGCTCATGTGGGATCGAACGAGTACACGTACGTGGCGTCTCGAAACAGGTTCGCTGATGGAAGGGCTTGCCCATATTGCGGAGATTGGGGTGGGGTGACTTCTAAACGAGGCACATACGCAGAATATTTGACTTACAAATCTTCCATTAGTTAGTTATAAACAGTTGCCAGAGATTAATACATATTAAGCAGAATATGATGCGTATACATAGACGTACCCCAGAACTAATGCAACAGGGATCTCCATTTACGGATAGCGATGCTAACTTAATGTAGGTATTGCGACAGCCCATGTTCGCAAATAGTCGAATACAGATAAGCTCGCTACTACCTGGCAGATAAGGCTTAGCGTCAGCGCTGATCTGTCAGCGCACACGCACGCTAGGAGGATAATCCACTTGCGTGAGCCATCTTGGAGAGTGGCTGTAACTTTCTTCTCCCACACTCGCCAGCTATGTATGTAAACGGCCAGTAGTATGTATGTACATATGGCCAATAGCAGCGATGGCAGTTCAGAAGCGGCCAAACCCGGGCCATAAGGCTGCTGCAACCATCCTGCGCTGCAAGCGAGGCTGACCGTGACATAACTCTATCGCAACCGTAAGCACTTTGAACGGTACGTCGGCTCGGCGCATGATGCGAACTGGGCCGTATTGGCGCGACTGCTTACCAGTAAGCAGCTTATGCTTTCTAACCGACGGATCCTAAGCGGACTCCCCAATACGTTGTACATATGCTTAATAACGCGATTGACAAGCACATCGGGCCGTGAGCGACTAAGCATCATCAGTTACCAGTCAAAGGATTGTTGTGCCACAACCCCTGGCCTGTCGCGCTACTGGTAAGCTGTTTTCGACATCCAGGTGCATGATGTCAGGGCTCAACACATGTCCATCTGCAGCTCGCCAGACGTCGTTTCGTGGCAGCGAATTGAAAGCTTCGACATGCAAAGGATGAGAGGTGGCAGATTGCAGTTCGTAGTGATTAGGTACAGCTTCACCCCGCACACTGATACAAACGCCATTGTTTTCAGCCCCCATCTTTCGTACGTAATTAAGCGCTCACTGTCATAGGTCAAACAACGATTTAACTTGTTGATCGTCAACAAAAGATAATCTGAAGCCCTGCTAGTGGATCACCCTCCACCGATTTGCGGCCTGCAAGGGTGAAAATGCATTCGCTAACGACTGTATCAGGTAGGATCTACCTTCCCCTCTTTGATTGGGAAGGACGAGCAAAACAAACTCCAAGCTCACTGTTGGGAATGGATAAACTCGGGGCTGCATCCCTTGCTACTATGCGCAAGGGATCGACTGCGGTGGCAATAGATCAGCGTCGCAACGTTCATTTTGGAGGGGTCGTACTGGACGTACATCATTCAGTTACAAACCTCTATCACTGAATACGAACGTATAAAAATCATGACAGCATCCATGATAGATAGTTCACAGCATACCTCTAAAGACCTTTGCAACCTGAGACAAACTTCTGCTTCACAATGCCTTCCTCAAACTCCAAGAGCGGCCCACGCACGGCTCTACTGCTTTGCGCATCTACGTCTAATAATGCCACTCAAAGCGCTAACCCTCCACAAAATGCATAAGACACTAATGAACTTCAAGTTGTACACAAAGCGCGTTGGAGATATCATTGAGCTTGCAAGATATGCGTACTCGAACCCGGATCTGCCAGATAGAAGCGACGACGGAACTATCGACGAATTGAGGAAACTCGTGGTTGAGTATATTGTGTGCGAGATTGACATAATTGGAAAATGCGATGAATTCGTCAAGTATATGGAAGAAGGCGGTGAATTTGTAGGAGATTTTTGGAGGATGGTAAAGGACTATGTGGCTTGATGTAGGTGTACAGTGATGTAATTTTTAGAAAATAGGGGCGTAGCCACAGCCCATGACTTGTGCAGGAATATGCTAAATATCCACGTGGTTTTGGTCGGTTTAAGTCGAAGTACCCCTCACATCCCTTGGCATCGTAACTCTCTCAGCATGTAGGGATGGACGTGATGTAATTGTATTACGAGCCGCGCAACGCGCTAACACACCCTGATCGCCCCCAATTGGGATGGGGCCTGTATTACGAGGAGAACTGAAATGTTGGCTTGATGATTGTGGTGTTCGTTGAGATGACGATTTGTGCGAGTTTGGTATTTGGTGTCTGGTGGACGCTGGCGAAGACGGACATACAGGGGGTATGGGGAGTTAGTTCGTATATAGTAACGGCGTGTGCGCTTGTTGTGGGGTTAGTTAGTTAACTAATTAACTAGTGTAGTTGGGCGTACATCCGAGTAGTACCATCTCTCTCTGGCTGAACAAACAACAATCTTGGATTTCAGTGGCTCAAGCAGGTGTTTGATTGCTAGACTCGAGGTGAAAGCTCAATCTTCTTACTGTCCATGGATGGGCATGAATTTTATCTTACTATGAGTCTTTTAGACTGTTACCTATAATCAGAACAAGATTTCATTATGTAGCAGTATTTATATTGAAAAGGATGTGGAGTTGCCATTCGAAGTTCTCTCGCGTGCATGAGATCGATGCCTCGCATCTCGAGCCTACACACTGGCCTCATCACCATAGTTGGCAGCCGCTTTCGCAATTCGATCAGCAAGTTTGTTGTGCCCCCTTGGGATGTGCCAGAACCTAATCTACGCGATCTTAGCCTTGCATGCAGTCAACATATATTCCTGCGTGATAACTAACAATTACATTCTTCGCCTCGAGCGTCATCACCACGTCGTCAAGAGCGATGAACAGATCTAAATTTGCTGGTTTAGTGCCTTTGGATGTGCGCCAGCCGTTCCTCTAAGAGCTCAGTCAGCAGTGTCTTTGGAAGCCCTTGCCAGACTAGTTCAAACATACCTTCCATGTTGGCAGCCATTCGGTCATCCTCTTAACAACATACTCGGAGTCGGTCGCGATAATCCAAGCTACAGCTTCATCCTCTGAATGCTGGGTGTTGGCCTTACTAAGAAACTCCACGCCCGACCTTGCTGCACAGAGTTCCGCTCGCTGATTCGACCGCAGTGGGAACTCGTCCACCACGTCTGTAATAGGTAGGAACAGTTGGCTTTTATCATCATTGCCGTATGCTACACCGATGCCTGCTTTTGCTTCAGGCCGTCCGTTGTTCGTACACGCCCCATCAGTGAAGATGATCCGAAAGTTGTGGCAGTAGCAATACAACAAGAAGTCGTTGCACCCAGGACATTCTCAGAGGAGTTCTGGTACGACCAAGTTGCGATCGTAGGACAGAGGATGAGCTTCCTATTGTAGATTATGTTCTTGGGGTGGTCCATCTTTGTAGGAATACTCAGAAGGAAACAAGGTCATGGTCCAGATGTTAAGTCATGGGTTAGAGCGGGGCTCTGCTGAGATTACTTAGGCGCCGGCGTTCGGCAGATCTCGAGCTGTTTGAGACGACCAGCATTAGGCACTCCGGCTAAGCCCTTGATACAGGCGGGGTAATTTAGTAGTCGAACATTGTGTTGGGAGATTGAAACTCTACGAGGTAGCAGTGATTTTGGAATCCCGTCATCATCGGTGCTGCAGTTTTATCCTCTTCAATCTACACTTCGCCAATTCGCGTTGCACATGCCAAGTCTCAGAGCCGGATCTCACCGAAATCAGACCTGATTGCCACTCTACAACTACTCTGCCGGCTGAGTTCTTGCATTTTCGATATCATCAAAGCTCTTGAGTTAAACTTCTTGCTATCACACCCGAATCAAAATGCAGACGAACCAGCCCTTTGGAAATTTACTGCTCAATCTTCCAGAGTGAGTGCCTTCTTGTTTCGATTATCAAAGCAGTTACGCGTCCCTTAACGTCTCAAGGTATTATGATTCTCCAACGCTATCCGATGGCACCATAACATGTGATGGAAAAGAATTTCGAATCCACAAGATCGTGCTTTCCGCTCAATCTAAGTTTTTCTCGAACGCTTTCGAAGGGAAATGGAAGGTACGTGTTATGACTACTGCAAAGCCGTTTCTGACGATGCGACCGTAGGAGTCAGTGGAGGGTACTATCCCTCTAAACGATGACGATGTCTCTGCTGTCGAGGCAATGCTTCGATTCCTGTACTCTTTTGACTATGATGCCAGTGGGAGCGTGGCTGATGTTGCTTCGCCGATGGTGTTCAACGTCAAAGTGTACAGCATAGCAGACAAGTATGATGTTCCAGCGTTGAAGTCGATCGCTAGAGAGAAATTCAAGGAATCGGTCAAAACCTGCTGGAACATGGACGACTTTCCGCACGCTATTGCGGAAGTATATAGCTCCACGCCGCCAAACGACCAAGGGCTTCGAGACTTGATAGTTGAAGTCGCATGCGAACGTATTACAGAGCTCTTGCAGAAGCAGGGATTTCGCGACGTTTTGGGAGAGGCTGTTGGCTTCGCTTCAGATTTAGTCAAGCTCCAGGCGAGCAAAAAGAGACCGAATGAAAAGCAGGACAGAACTAAGTACAGATGTCCAAATTGCTCTAAATATTGGGAGGCTGCATCTTCTGAATCTAGGTACTATTGCCTTTATTGTGGGGTTCATTACTCGAACTGGAGTTCATATGTTGTAGAGTAATCGACACGAAGGTTTCTTAAAGCAACGGGCTCCTGTATCTTCAATTTGAACTTTCTGTCACAAACACAGTGTTGTTCAATCATTGCTGGGGTGGTTTATCTTCCTTAGGAGTGAAGCAAACGTTGGCTCCATTCAGCTCTATCGGCAGACTATATGCATTACCCATCTTCCATCGATTGTTACTGGTTGCCACAATTCGATACCTATCAAGCATTATATACCAATGCGTGCCCATCCGGTATCCAGCGGCTAAGTTCGTGTTTAACGTCGCGAGATGGCTGGCGAAAGAAAGCTGGCATAGCCTTTGGAGCTGCGGT